AATGACACATTGTCATTGATTCCCCTTCAAATATTCTGCCTTATGGGAGAATAAACCAGGTGTGGTGTTGAACATCTGTACTTTCAGCACTCAGAAGGCTGAGGCAGGAAGGTTGCCATGCATTTGAGGCCAGCCTGGACTACGCAGTGAGTTTCAGATTAGCCCGAACTACACAGCAAGACCCTGTCTCAAAAATAATAGTAAAAAAAAAAAAAAATGAAGAATATTTTCTCCTACTTCAAACACATTTGTCCCACTGTTTTTGCCACTTTCTGAAGCAGTTCTGGAAATCCTCTTTCACAAGTGTCTTTAGTTGTGCTCTTATGGCTGCCTCCTTATCTTGAATCAATTACAATGCATAGTGATTTTTGCTTTAGGGATGATCCAGAGTTACACTACGTCAGATCTTATAAAGGTGGAAGAAAAAGCACAATAATGTTTTTATGAACTTGCAATTTTTATTTAAACATTTACCATGTTTTGTAAACACGTGTCATGAATTTTTAAACAAAATACTGAACAATATGTCTTCTGGTCATTATCAGTCTGAACAGGACTAAATGAGACTGCCCTATGTTGGCATGCTTGATGTTACATTTGGGCTTGCACTTAAACCCTCAATAAAAGCATCTTTCAGAAGCTAAAAAAGCAATGAAATGATGGTATAGTTTAGTGATAGAGAACAGACTGATGCTTAGGATTTGCTAGAGGTTTAAATGTCAAAATGTTTAAGCATTAAAAAGTCTTTCAGGTAAGGAACTTCAAAACCTGTCAGAACTACACTGCTAATGGTCTGGTAATAAAACATATCCCTGAGCACAAAGTGGAGGTAAGAAAGGGCCAAGGGTTTTACAGCTTCTAGGAAGAATATGTCTATTCGGATACATGCAATGGTTACAGAAAACATCTATCACGTAAGTATTTAATTACTCAAATAGAACTCCCCTTGTTACAGACCAAATATTCTTCCCACCATCAATTCATACTCTTAAAGTGAAACCTTGAGTTTGTTAGTATTAGAAGGTCTTGGGGAGGTGACTAAGTCACAGGAGAGGAGCCCTCAAAGATGGGATTAGTGTCTTTATCAGATGAAATCCACAGAGTTCATTAGCCCTTCTCCTGCCATATTAGAAAGCAGGGAGTAGTCAGTTGTCTGCAACTCAAAAGAGCGTCGTCTCCAGAATCCGACCACTTTGCCATCTTGATCTTGTCCTTTCTATCTTCACCTAATGAAAATAATTCCTGTTTGTTTATAAGCCAGTCTATGGTTCCCTCTCATATTAGCCTGTCTTGCTTTCTTCATCACTGTGACACAGTACATGACACTCTAGAGATTTGGCAGCCTTATCTAAATACTTGTAACTTTAATATGCCAAAATGGAAGTGATGGAATATTTGCAGTAGATCTGTTCCGAAATGACATGTGTCTCTTTATAAATACTATACAGCAATTAACATAAAGCAGGTATAAGATAAATAGTCATTGCAAGTGTGAGTAATTTTAACTTAAAGGAGGACAAATGTATTTTGGCTCACTTTTTTTTTTTTTTTTTTTTCCAGGGGTAGAACTTAGAACCTAGAACATTCCAGGCAGGCACGATACTGCTGTACTAAATCTCCTATCCTTGGCTCACATTTTTAGTCTATAGTTGGCTGGCTCCAAGGAAGGCCTGCTGGAGGGGACTTGGAGAGGAAAGTTGCTCCCCTCCTAACAGCCAGGAAACAGAGAGAGAGAAGGGGGATGCTTAGGCGGGAGATGCACCCTTCCAGTCATGCTCCCAGTGAGCAGCCTTTTCTGACCAGTTCCTGCCTCTCAGCACGAGCTAGCTGTGAGCCTCCACAATCCAGTCTTTTCTGTGAAGCTCTGCCTGTGAGTGAAGGCTTTGGGGGGACATCGAAATACGTATACACAATAACACAGTCTGAAACATCTGACACCCTTGATGTGGATATCTCAGTCCTACATTTTCTATGGCAGAATTGGTTCCTGTGACCTAGAAGACTCTAACTGAAACTTGAGAATGGGCAATAATTACTCATACCTGCAATGAATATTTATCTTATACCTGCTTTACGTTAATTGCTTTATAGTATTTATAAAGAGACACATGCCATTTAGGAACAGATCTACTGCAAATATTCCATCACTACCACTTTGGCATATTAAAGTTACAAGTATTTAGATAAGGCTGCCAAATCTCTAAAGAGATTTTTAGGGAGCTAAGAACCTAGAAAAATGAACAACAGTTAGAGCTCTAACAGGATTACAAATAAATGGATATCTAAGTTGAAGAAGAATGAGGAATGCATGGAAACCAGCCAAGGAGCTGAAGCCAGAAAACTGAAAGATCAAACTGTTCTCTACAGGAAGAGAGAAAAAAGTAGAGTTGAAAGGTTAAGTAAAAATGGAAAAAAGAATTCTTTCCAAAGATTATATATATATATATATATATATATGCCATATATATGACAAAAAATAAAGTAAAGTAACTGCTTTAAATTATTTTCCCTGATACCAATGAAATGTCTAAAATAAACTTCTGATTGATGTTTATTATATAAATAACGATGTGGAGATATATTCAGAAGAGCTAGGTTAATATACGCATGTAAGCTAACAGATGGCCAGTTTGTAGGTGTATATCAGGTCCACCCGAAGCTGTGTTGGAGGACTATACCCATCCCACCTCATCTCTCCTGGAGGAAAGGAGGGAACAAGATCTGGAAGAGAAATATTTTAATGTTTAAAATTCTCAGATTTGCTTCCTAGAGTTTTGATTCATATGTTTAGTTTGATTTACCAAGCCTCTGCAAAGGTCAGAGCACCTGTATAAAAGAGAACTTCACCTCTGGAAGACTCTCCTATTCCTGGAGTGGGAGACTTTATCTAACTGGAAAGGGCTTCCAGTTGCATCTCAGACTTGGGACAGCCCGCTGCCTGCTAGTCCAATGAGCTGTGCAAGCGAAGGAGGGTACAGGAAGAGCAGGGGTTTAGTTCTACGACCCTGACAGAGGAAGGGAACTTAATCTGAGAGATATTGGGAGGTAATATTTCTGTAATATTCCAGAAAGAAATTTGATTATTTCTCCATAAATTTGTTTTCTTCTCACAGGAGACAGGTCTAAAAGAATCAGACAAAGCTCGGAATGAGAGTTGGATAATAAAAGGCAGGAGGGAGAAGAAAAGCTGAGAGCTCGGTCTACACTTTTATGCATAGACCAGGGCTGGGGGTGTGTGTGTCCAGAATACTTCCAGTGTTGTTCTTTCCGAAGGCGCACAGACAGAGGCCCCCAGAGAAGAGCAGGGGCTCTGGGCCTGTGAGAGAGAGTCAGGTGACTGGTGTCTCTGGAGACTAGAGGAAGAAGTAAAAAAAAAAAAAAAAAAAAAAAAAAAAAAAAAAAAAAAAGCCGCTTGCAGTTAGGAACCCCTGTTGGGAGTTTGGGCCTGAAAGTGACACTTTTTTGTTTGCTTGTTTGTTTGTTTGTTTGTTTGATGCCAGTTTATGCCAGAAGACCTAGGTGGGACGGAATAAAACAGAAGTACCAGATTCCTTCACTAAGAGAGCCAAAGCAGGGAGGACTCTCTGTGCCCTCTGGGATGTGGAAGGGAGCCTAGGGTGAATGGAATTTCTCACCGCTTTCCTACTGTTCATGGCCAGGGAGCACCTGGCTACAGGGGCTATCAACAGCCATCTTGGAGAAGCACCCCCTCTGCCAACACCACTCGACCTAGCAGAGTGTGACTCAACCACTCTCACCTCACGGCCTTCAAAATGGAGCAGGTGGTTAGTGAGCAGTGGGTCACAGGGCCATTTTTTACCCTCTGCTTTGCACAGACCACACCGAAGTTGGGTCTCTGCCCTCCTCACAGGCCCCAGAACTTCTAGTTCCCCTTTCACCCACGGTCACTAAAATGTAGATCATTCACCCTCCTCAGTTGATCCCCAAGATCCCTGGGCCCTAGAGAAGCAATTCTTGTCAAACCGTGAGCTACTTGTCCTTGGTTCACTCCTGGCCATGTGCCCCTCTTTCTTCTAGGGCTCAGCCCCCTTACCTTATAGGAAACAAAACAACAAACCAAAACAAGCACACAAACAGAAAGCCCTATTTCAGGCTGGCTTGGGGATGCGCGTGGATCGGTAACGTTTTCCAGAACGTTTTACCTATCACAGTAGTCTTTCTTCCTAGTAAAGTCTCTCCCCATCTTATTTGAGTCCGGGTGCTTTTACTTTGACCTTTGTCGGTGGATAGGGGTGATCCCAGGAGAGTCCCCCTTGCTACGGAACAACCACCCCCGCCCCCCGGATTTATCACCCCCCGGGGAAAGGGCAGGAAGCTTGTAAGCTACCTCTAGAACTTGAACTTTCTAAGGCGCAGTGAGTTTCTAAAAGGGAGGCGGGAGTTTTCGGGCTCCAGGGACCACTGCCTGAGCAAGCTAATTGCAAAGCACCGCGGCGTTCGCTGCCAGGAGAGAGGGGTGTGCTTGGGAGCCGTGCGGGGAGGCGACAGAGGAGCGAGGGGTGGGTAGGCGGGGTACGAGTGGGAGGTCCGGGAGTAGATGGAAGCCGCTCTTCTGGGGCGAACACGGGCGGGGACCGAGGAGGAGACGGTCCCGCAGCCTCAGCACCCCGAGGTCAGGCGCCGCTGCAGCGGCGGCAGCGGTAACAGTAGCGGGACGGAGTTAGGACCGCTCGGAGCGCCCAGGTCTCGAGGTAGTATAAGGTTTGCAATCCTTCCACTCGCTGGCAGTTGCCGAAGATCTGCTTTTTAAGTGGCGCGTACCGGCCGGCCACCCCTCCGAGGGCCGCGGCTTCCCCGGGCTGCTGCGC